TGACTGTAGCTTTTTGTAAATCCAATTTAAAATTCTGCAATTTAGTCAGCTACTATGCCCCTAACCTCAGGAACTCCCTTCCTCTACCCCTCTGTGTTTCTCCCCTTCTCTACCTGCCTTTACGGGATTTCGCCCACAAAACACACAGTCGTTGCGCTTTACAGTAAATCCTGTTAAGTGCTTTGGGACGTCTTCATGACATGAAAGGTGCATTGCAAAATATAAGGATTATTATTATAAATTCCACCATAAAACCTACCTCTTCGACCTACCTGAGTATGGTCAATCACCTCCCACTTTCCCCCTCTCCCTTGCTAGGGGTCTGGCCATATCAAGAAGTACTCCGAGACATTATCCAACGCAAAGGGGCTAAATAAATGCAAGTTGATGCTGTTACACATCAGAAAGCCTACCATGATTTGTTGCTTGAAAGAAGATAAATGCTGGAGGTGTGAGAAGACTCGATACACAAACACTGCTTCAGTATCTCTCCTGATTGCTCTCTTTTGGGAAGCAATGGGTCAATACAATTTAATAGGCCAGAAGGGTGAAGAGCGATTGTGTATCCAAAAGCTTCTATTCTGGCCAACATATATCATGTTAATGCAGGGCTGTGTACTCATAGAATGATGCTATCATCACTATTAGTGCTGAAAAGGCTCATTATACCAATAATGAGATCCACATCACCACTTTCATCTCATTGGGAAAATGAGTGACAGAAAATAGCGTCTGGAACAATTAGAATTAGGACTGGGGGAAATTTAAATTATTTTTACAAAGAGATTGAAACCGCTGTGGTTCGTGTATTGGAGCAGTTTATCCATCAGGCCTGAGACCCTTTAGAGATGGACAAGAGTTGATACGAGAAGCAAATAAAAAAGATAATGAAACTGAGTAATTTTCAAGACATTTCAGGGGAGCACTTCACTCTCAGAGATATACATTTGATTTTGTTATTGTCCAGAGAATTACTGAGTTTTATTGTACTGGGTGTTAAGATGAACGCAGTTTATAAGTTACATAGAGTTTAGAAGTTGCTTGGGGTTGCATAATGAATCTCTAATGTCCAATGTTTATACCGTTTTCATAAGTAATGAAGTTTAATTAAAATCATATGGTACTGCCATTGTATGGCACAAATACTTCACTAACATCTGAGGAGCCAGCGTTTTTTTTTTTGGGGGGGGGGCACGGTGAAGGGAGTACAGAAGAGAAATGGAATGTGAAATATTCACAAATACTGTTTGTCACTTGACAAGTAGACATGTGAAAAGGGCATACAGCACTCTGCTGTTTTGGGTGAACTGAGGATTATCGCTGCAGGTAAACTGTAGTGTACAATTCACAGTAGGGCTCACGAGAGCAAAATTAGTATATTAGATCATAAACCGTAATAAGGAAAATTGCCTGAAGAGCAACGTATTAAGCATTTTACACACTCACTTAGGGAGCTTAAAGAGTTCATAACTGGTGATGAGAAAGGAAAATGTAGTTTATTCCTGTTCTGAACACCACAGAGAACTCTAAAATGTCAATGCTGAACTATTACCTTAGAATATTAAATAGATGTGACAAGCAACGTGGCCCTCTATGTTTCCATTAAGCAGAGCAAAAGCTATTGTTTTGCTTCTGGTGTTATTGACAGATCATGTATCCATCCACCCACCCACCCACCCATCCATCCATCCATCCATCCGTCAATCTATATGAATTTACATCTTGTGACAATTTAACTCAGGCATGGGTCGCTGAACTGGCAATGCTGGATTCTGGTGCTTTGGTACCGACAACACTAACTACAAAGTGACATTTCCAATCAGCAAATTCTTTTCCTTAGCCACTCAAGAGATTTATTGATTCGAGACCTTTCTCAGTTCTTGGGAATAGAATCCAAGTTTACCTAGCCTCTCATAATAGTTAAATCCTATCATCCCAGGTACCAATCCGGTGAATCCAAGCTGGACACCCTTCAAGGCCAATATATTGACAGAATATTGTGCAGTCCTGCAGAGTATTGGTTAGAGCATTGCTGGGGCATCTCAACACTGCTTTGTGAGTTCTGGCCTAATTCAGACTGACACAGCAACAAAGATAGTAGTTTTCGATCCAACTCCAACTGTTCCTAAGATTTTTTTGTGGGGGGGTGGGGGAAGAGAGGGGAGAAGGGCGATAGTGTTCACAATCGAAACCAGTTGATAAACATCAACTGAAATTGTTGATTCAGTTTGGAAATTATCTTTTCTGAAACCACATTTTTTCGCTCTTATATTCCAGATCCCTCGCAATCAGCCTCCCTTTATTTAGCCTGTGGGAATAGAATTCACTTTTCAAAAATTAGTCGATCTGGAATGTTAAAATAATACAATTTACTCAAATCAGTGAATAAACAGCTAATTCCTTGCGACTATCAACTGGATTCAAGGCATCCAACTGTTTCTCATCAATATGATGACTTCATTGCAGGCAGGAAGCCAATGATAAACTGTGGTGCAATCAGATATAATGAAGAAGGGTACAGTTCTGTTTGTTTTTTAAGTAACGGACATATTTATTAGTGAGTCAGGTCGCTTGCATGCTGTATTACAGGAATTATTTTGCATTTAATATGCACCTTGGATCACGTATTTCACTTGCTGAATAATGCCAGCTCTTCAACCCAACCCAACTTAATTGGTGTGATATTGACAGCTGGTTGCTCTTCTATTATTTGAGAACTCGAAAAATAATGGAATTGTCAAACTGAAAAGACATTCTGGGTATTTCCACAACCAACAATTTATTTTGTCTAATGTGGAATAATCTAGATGTGTATACAGTATTATAGTATAATTAATACTGTATAAAGCAGATTACCAGAAACAGATTTCACTGGGTGTTTTTGAGCTTCTACACTTTACAATAATAATAATAATTGCTGCATTTGATATTGTGCCTTATCATGTCTTCGAGATGTCTCAAAGCGCTTCACAGAAAATACTGTAAAGTGAACCCACTGTGTATTTTGTGGGCGAAATGCGGCAGCCAATTGCGCATAGTCCATGAATAGTTGTGGATTGAGTGACCAAATTATTATCTTTTTTTTAAGGGATTATTCAGATAGACTTGTAAGAAAAATAGAAGCCCATGGTATAAAAGGGACAGTGGATCCAGAACTGGCTGGGAGACAGAAAGCAGAGAGTTGTGGTGAACGGCTGCTTTTCTGACTGGAGGGAATGTACAGTGGTGTCCCCCAGGGATCGGTATTAGAACCACTGCTCTTCTTAATATACATAAATGATCTGGACTTGGGTATAGCAAGTACCATTTCCAAGTTTGCGGATGGCACAAAGTTAGGTTGGGTAGTAAACAGTGAGAAGGATAGCAGCCAACTGCAGGAAGACATAGACAGAATGGTAAAATGGGCAGATGCATGGCAGATGAATTTCAATGTGGAGAAATGCGAGGTATTGCATTTTGGAAGAAAGAATGAGGGGAGGCAATATAGGCTGGTAATACAATCTTAAGGGAGGTGAAGGAACTGAGAGACCTGGGGGTTCAGGTAAATGAATCCTTGAAGGTGGCAGGACAGGTAGATAAGGCTGTAAAAGGGACATATGGGATACTAGGCTTTATAAATAGGGGCATAGAGTACAAGAGTCAGGAGGTTATGATTAACCTATATAAAACACTGGTTAGGCTTCAGTTAGAATACTGCGCCCAGTTCTGGGCACCACACTATAGGATGGATGTTCAGGCACTGGAAAGGGTGCAGAGGAGATTTATAAGAATGGTACCAGGAATGAGGGACCTTGATTATGAGGAAAGGCTGGAGAGGCTGGGATTATTCTCATTGGAGCAGAGAAGGTTACGAGGAGACCTAATAGAGGTCTTCAAAATCATGAGGGGATTTGATAGGTTAGAAAGGGAAAAACTGTTTCCACTGGTGGCTCGAGTCCATAGATTTAAAATAGTTTCTAAAAGAAGCAGAGGGGAGGTGAGAAGAATTTTTTTCACGCAGCGAGTTGTTCGAATCTGGAACGCATTGCCTGAAAGGGTGGTGGAGGCCGATTCGATAACTACTTTTAAAAACGTGGTGGATGGGTATTTGAGGAGAACGGGTTTGCAGGGTTATGGGGAAAGGGCTGGGGAACGGGATTGACATTACATTGTTCTTTTCAAAGAGCCGGCAAAGACTTGATGGGCCGAATGACCTCTTTTTGTGCTGTACGATTCTATGATTCTATGATTCTATTACCCCTGGAAAAGCGATCCGCCAATTGATTAACTAACGGGTTCCTACATACTGCTAGGTGAACAGAGGTGTGTGGAGTAAAGAAAATTGCAAATTACCAGAAACAACAACTCTATATATTTATATAGCATTTATATCACCGCTTTATCATTGGTGGGCGGGCATTCAGCTATTCTGCCCCCTCACTCTGGAACTCCATCTAGGAGTCTCTCTGATTTTCTCCCTACCTCATCTAATTCGAGTTCTGTCTCGAGACATAGCGCTTTGAATGTGCTTTTGGTAATTTTAATACAATAATAATAATAATATAGTCACTCAATCGATGACTGTTTGTGGGACAATGCTGTGCAAAATTGGCTGCCACATTTTGCTCACAAAATACAGTCAATCCACTTTACAGAATACTCTGTGAAAGTCTTTGAGACATCTCGACGACGTGATTAGTTGCTATATCAAATGCAAGGATTATTATTATTATTATCTTTTCTTTCTTCACACCCCCTCAGTTTCCATTCCCAGCTTGGGTGCTCAGCGGTGATATCAGGCACTTTGGGATGTCATCCTGATGTGAAAGACGCAATATAAATGTAAATTTTTACTATATTGTAAAACAGCTGCATGGTAATGTGTTCAGCCATTTAAGGTTGAGCCCACGACCGAATCCCTTATTGAAGGCAAGTGAGTCGGTTGCTGGATTAATTCACACAAAAGGTTTCTACAGATTATTAGTTCATATTCTGTATCTATTGTTAAAGGTTTGACTTACCTCCCCTCTGAATGACCAAAGTGGTCTCCCGTCCAACTGGACACTCCTTCAAGATCTCCACCACCTGCGTGTGACCGAGGGTCTGCACATTCTGCTGGTTGATCTCTACGATAAGGTCCCCTTCATTCAGTCCACCGCATCCTTGCACATCCAGGATCTGTTTGACTCTCTGTCCTGTGGGACTATCTGCTATGGTGAAGCCAAAGCCCTGGGCACTTTTCAGGATAGTGACCGTCATGAATTCAGACTGAGTGACTCCCGAAGAGGCCATGGAAACGTTATCTTCATGGACTGCCGGTAAAGTTCCATCGACCTGACCATCTGTGGAAATTGGATGAAAGGAATGTGTGTGACGGTCGGTGATGTCTGGCACTAAGCGAGAGGTCCGAGAGCCAAAGTCCACGTACGTATCATAATTATTCCGCCCATTAACTAGAATTGGTTGTCGGTCCACTACTGTAATAGGAGGTGCCATGCTGCTGTTTGGGTCTTCAGGATCGAAGGGCAAAGGGTAGCCACGGCACAGCACAAGGTTGACACATTGGCCAATTGGGACAGATTGGAAAATTTTTACAACTTCAGCGTGAGTGTGCCCAAGAACACAGATGTCGTTTATGTAGACAATCACATCACCTAGAGAGAGAGAAAAGAAACAAGAGCATAACTTTTTAAATTAAACAAGAGGCGAGGTTACGGAATTGCATTTGTTTTTCCCATCTTATTTTAAGGTAAAATCAATCTGAATAGTCAAGACATAATGAAGGTTCTGCAGGACTGATGAATTCTATCTTTGTATCAAATATACCATTACTTAGTAGTCAATAATAGTAAATGCTGGTTCTTGCCTTGTTTCATGTGATTCAACAAATAATTCACTGGGCTAGAAAAGTCAATATCAACTCTGTATTGCCCTGAATATTATGGAACCATCATTATCAAGCATAAAAATCTATAAATTTACAAAAATAACAACTAGATAATCATTATTTAGTAATTCACTGAAATGCTACCTAAAATATGGTCTTCAGTATGTTGTTTTAACTTAACCTTGATCAATCATTTTGGAACCAATTTTTTTATCCAGAAATTTGCATAAAAGACAATTATCAAAAGGAGATTCTTTTGTATGAAACACAGAAATGAAGCCTCTTGATCCAAAACTTGCCTGAATCAATAATATCCAGACTTCAAATATGATCAACATCTCTCTCACTGGCTTAATAATAAACACTTACAACGCAATGCTAATTTTAACAGCAACTGGATCTTTAAATGTCAAATATATTCAGTTGTAATGTGATTAGCAATTATATTGATCGACATCAATAGCCAAGCACAGTACAATCTATTTAAGGAATTATTCCAAAATTATGCAACATTCCTTCTGAAAATTACTGATTCATGGCAGAAGGCACTACGCACGTTCCACCTTAAACTTTAATAACCATTTACTGCAGGAAAATGAATCGCAGACTGAATGCGCTGTTGAATTTGTTCAGCTTCTTCAGTTATAAACGACTGAAACTAATTTAAACTGAATTACAAACCATGCCTTCTTATACCTCCCAAAGTTGATGAGCACCCGCAACTCATTTATTCACCCACACAGAGAAAGACTTTTGAAGCATTTTAATTCTTCAAACTTAATTCATTCTGTTAGCAGTAAATCAGTTCCACCAACAGATTAAAACTTCCTCAACACTATAAGTAAAGCTTAATGTATCATCTAAGTGCTGAGTTATGAGATGATGAATCAATTGTGTGCGTTAAAAGACACTAAGTTACTTTGAGCTTATAATTTAGGATAACACAATATAAAACATTTTAAAAATGTAAAGTGCAACCATTCTCGCAAAACACATTTTCATCTGATTCGATGGAAAGGCAATTTTGGAATCTGGGATGGATGAAAACTGTCACTTAAACATAACTATTCAGAGTGTAACTTAAAGAGCCAGAAAGAGCTGCATATCATTCTCATTCTGAGAGTATCATACAAGTCACTATAATGTATTTCAATGAAAGTTATATCACTGTGTTGTTTCTGTAAAGCAACAATGAGTTTGACTAACACTTTTTCTGAAGGTGGTGACCCATTAATGCATATGGTTTAATATATAGGCATCTTCAACTACAATATATTGATTAATCTGGGTACATAATAGAACTATAGAATGAAATAAGTATGTATCTGTATTTAATAATTGTTTAATATTTTATATAGAGAGAATTAAGTAATACTTTAGAATTAGGTACTGTCCTTTCAGTGTTCCTTAGAGAAATGCACCTTTACAATTTTGATCAATGAACATGTCAGTATTAAGCAAAAAAAAAGTTGTTAACATTTTTAATCTGGTGTTGGCCAATCTTCTAATAGGTCATGTTCTTTCTAATCTATTTCCAAAGTGAGGTCTCGAAATCTGACCTTTCAATGACTAGCCTCTGTTTCCAATGAACAAAAAAATTCTCAACCATAGTATCCACATAATAACAATAGCCTTTGTAACTGCAGACTATTTTTAAGAAGACATTCTACAGCGTAGCAGAAAAAGAAAATTTACACATGAAGAAAAGTAGGTGACACAGAATGGTTTTGAAGAGACATTGTCAGATCCTAAATTAACTAATATTTCTACTTAAAAATAGCAGTGTAAAATATGTCCTAAATTCTATCTAGTACTTCAATGAATAAAAAATCTAAAGCTTTAAGTATGATGAGTTTAGACCCAATGTGATGATCTGCCATCCACAGCCAATTTTGTAAAGCCTTTGTCAGTTGTCAAGCAAAATTGGTTTAAAATCAAAATTGATGAAGTTTTCAACTTAATGAAAACTTTTAATCTTTAAGAATATGCAAAACCGTCAAATGCTCTCGCCTTAAGATGCATACTGATCATGACTTTGAACTACGGTACCACTGATAAATTATATCTGTCAATGTCTAATGCATGAGTAACAATGAAGTGTCTCGGGGGAAAATCATTTCTAGTTTACATGCTGATATTTACACAAAAATTAATTTCTCGAGTGAAAAATATTCGACAAGGTTAGTTTCAACTGATAATATTAATGGATGTCATAATTTCCTATCTAATGGTAACAACAACTGCAACTCTTTCTGGATCCACTTTGCATAATGTAGCTCTTGGGAAATATGAAATATGGTCAAATGATGACAAAGTTAGTTGCATACAATTTTTTCTCCTTTGCAATAAGTCTTCTGTACCATGCAACCAACTGGTGCATATTTACATTGTAAAGAATTCTCAACGAAATCACTAAGCATGTTTTACTATCCTTACAAAGGTTACTGAGGACATTAATTGTGGCAATCTCAAAGCACTTAGAGATGTCTCAACAATGTGATAAGGTGCTATATCAAATGCATTTGGTACAGTGCCTTTCAATATTGGGAGGACATCCCAAAGCACTATTTTAACAGTATTGTACACCCAAATACATTGTAATAATATAAAATAATAATGTATAATAATAATATAATATATAATAATATAATAATCCTTGCATTTGATATAGCGCTTTTCACATCTTCTCGACGTCTCAAAGCGCTTCACAGAATATACTATAAAGTGAATTGACCGTATATTTGTGGGCGAAACGCAACAGCCAATTGCGCACAGCAATGTCCCACAAACAGTCATGGATTGAAAATGACCAATTTATTATTGTTTTGTTTTTTGGAAGGATTATTATTAGGCGGATTAATAGTATTGCAAAGTGGATTGACTGTATTTTAAGTGAGAGAAACGCAGCAGTCAATCGCTCACAGTAATGTCCCACAAACAGTCGTGGATTGAGTGACCAAATTGTTTTTTGAGGGATTGTTACTCCTGGAAAGTGGTCCGCTACTCAATTAATGACCGGGTTCCTACTTACTGACAGGTAAACAGAGTCGTGTGGAGTAAGGAAACTTGTCTAAGGTTTCGCCCTGAACTGGGAATCCGGGTCCTCTCGCCTGCGAGCCTAACCACTACTCTATGGGACTCCACAATTTGTATGTGGGGGGTGATACAAATAAGGAAAAATGAGTTCTCTTGAGTGATCAACCTAGAGAATTCCTATCGTCTTGTGACTGGCGTTTGCTCACCTGTCTCCATTTTGCCATCCAGCGCTGCTGGTCCTTCTGGAATCACACTCTTAACCTGTAGAAACTCATCAGGTTCATCACCACCAATGATGGTGAACCCAAATCCCATGTTGCTCTTCTTCAACGAGGTGGTCAGAAACGTCCCCTTCAGCTGTGAAACATCCCGAGTGAAGAGTGGCTTTTCTAGGTTGATAATTCAAAGAAGAAAATTCAAAACCTTTTCTTGCTTTGTGTCAATAGAGTGAGTGCTAAAGGCACTGAGAGTGTGTGACTATTTTGCTATTTTTAATCCTTTCAGCCCTAAGTTTGGAAAAGACGTGATTTTAAATGATTCATGTTCTGTAACCGATTCCATCCTTGAACTGTTATAGTTTTTGCGGCAGGATTTTGAAGTTATACCAAACTGCGTTTTGAGTCTTGTGGAAAGGTTTAAAAATATTGACTGTAAGCATGCTTTAAGCAGGCAACAGAAGATCACACCCCACTGCCAGTGCCTTTGGGAACAGAGAATAATAAGCTGTGATGTAGGATTCCCCACTACAAATGTCTGCTTTACAACAGTGCAGCTTACTGTGAAGTTGCACTTTGACATACCATACAGCCTGTACATTCCAGCACTGCCACTCCGAAACTGAGACAGGTCATTCGTACTGCGAGACCGCTGAGGCAGAGTGCCTGGGCAGGTATGTTTGGGTCTAGGTAATGTTGATGATGAGCCTTCTACAGTTATAAAGGAGAAAAACCCTCATTCTTAGGCCTCGATCTTGTGAATAATGACTATACTCTATAGAATATTGATAGTTCCATGCTACTTAATTCAAAGAACATTAATCTTCACCAATTCCAATATGTGCTCGTTTGCAGCTACAGTATAATTTCTGCTACGACTGATGTCGCAATTACATTAGACTTGCTTTATGCACTATTGCCGAAACATATTGAAAAGCCTCTAAAGGTTAATAATAAATACGCTAACAGTTTATCTTAGCAGGTAAGAAAAAAAAGACAGCATAGTAACAGAGCGTACGACACTGCAAATGTTATGCGATTTACATACAATATCATCATATTACCTCGGAAACCAGGCGATGGGATAGTGCAGGGCACTAGTTCCTGCTGCATTGAATGCTGTTGCTGTAGCTTCTTCTTTGCTTCGAGAACTGGATTCTCAAACTGGGTTTTTCGATTTATGTGACTAAAGCGTCATATGGAAAAAAGAAAAATAGCAAGAGCAGAAGAATGGCACAAAAAGCATTGAAATAAGAGTAATCAAGAAAAGAGAATGCGGTAAGGAAGGAAGAGTCCAGGAGACAGTGAGAGGTGACAAAAAACAAAGACAAACATACTCATTATATTGTCTTCAGGTCTGAAAGGTACCATGTGTCTCTTAGTGGAAATAAAAAGAAAACGGCAGATGCTGGAAATCTGAAACAAAAACAGAAATGGTGGAAATCCATAGCAGGTCGATTAGCATCTGAAAGAGAGATAGGCTAAGCTTTCAGTCATGACCCTTTGAAAAATCATGACACCTCCAAAGGTCTTGACCGGCAATAACCTCTCCATCACTTTCAGGTGCCGAATGATCTGCTGTGTATTGTCACCATTTCTGTGTTTGTACCGTACGTTTCGGCCTGATACATTTTAGCTTATATAGACAAAACATGTTTGCTATTGGCATGTGGTGTTCCAGGTGATATCAAATCAACCCAAAATGCAGTCAAAAGCAGTGAATAGCTATCTCTGGTCTGTGGAGGGGAGATAATGGGGTATAACTACTGACCGCTTTTGACTATATTTTCAGTTGACGTGATATGACTGGTGATATCACATGCTGTGTGCTTCCCTTCTGCATTATTTATTCTCCAAAGCTCATCACGAACCACTACGTTCATTCATCAAACTTTCTATTTTTGGGGGGCCAAAAGATAAATTATCTAACAAAACAGTTGAAGCCACACTTCATCTTAATGAAGAAAAATGAAAGCACATGAAAAGCTGAACATTCAATGAATTTGTACAATTGCAGGGACAATTGCTATACACAATGCAGTCACATTTGAAAGGGCTACGGCAAGCTGGTCTGTGGATTTGTGATCTATTTTAACGGTTGTTAATACCACAAAGTTTAACAAACTTACTCAACAAAATAGGTGCCATAGACTGGATCGTCAATTTTCTCCCAGCCATATGGAAGCTCTGAAATGACACAAAAGAAATCACAGATAAATATAGATTGATAATTATTTCTCCTGTCTGCTGAATGCCAATACACTTATTATGCGTACACAACAACCAGGTGTCTGCCATAGCTACCAAACCTTGCATTTGCTTTGGGGGAATGGTGTTATTAACGGTATTTCTTATAACTAATCTGTTGGTACGAGTTCTGACATCTCTGGCACATTGACTAATGTCGTTATAATGATGTCGGTTGTATACACACAGACAAATGGCTTCTTTCGGAGGAAAGAACCATAGCACATGCACAGTCATTTGTTTCGTGCATTGCATACATGCCGGCGAATATAGTGTCACTGAAAGAGTTAAGAGGGAAGGTCAGAAGCAATTTTGGCCCACGACTATGGAACGCTTTGCCGCAAGTAGCTACTCAGGCTGAGACACATTTAGTTTTCTGAGGGAATAAGTAGCTAGAAATTGGGTCTGATTTATATCAGAACATAAGAATAGAATAAACGAAAGAAAACAAAGGTCTACCTAGTTCGCCTTCCATCATCCTGGCAGTCACATGCACATGTCGTGTCCTGATCTATATACTGTATCCCAAGATATTATTTCCTAACAGAAATCTAGACCTTAGTTTCTTCTCGGAGCTTAGTTTGCAATAGGCAGCATGAGTTCCCTGCAGGAGTCGTTCTATTTTACATCCTGATGCCCTTTTCCTTTTGAGAGGTGCCACTTAGGCTGCCATTTTTCCCGCTGAGCACTCTAACTCTCAATGTCAACGGAGGTGGGAACAAGGCGATCAGGTTTATTTTGTGACGTATACAGAATGACAGGTGAACAGGGGCGTGGGTGGGATATAAAAATAGTCAGACTTTCCGAAGATGTATCTCGCCATCCAGACGGCTGTAGGTTAAACGCTTATCAAAGTCACAGGTTGGATTCCTTTTCATTTCAGAGTGGTACCAAGTCAACAACAACAACCACAACAACTTGCATGTAATACCCTTCACGTGGATAGCATCTCAAAGCACTTAACAGTGGTGTGCTTTGACGCTAAGCTGGAAAGAGAGGGGAGGTGACTTGAAGGCACTGGCGAAGAGGAAAGTCTTCAGGTGTGATTTGAAGACAGTCAAAGAAGAGGCAAGATGTAGGGATTAAGGCAGGGAGTTCCAGATATTTGGAGCATAGTGTCTGAAAGCACTGCCACCAATGGTGGAGCGGAGGGTACAAGGAAGAAGCAGAGGACCTGAGCCAGCTGAGTGAAGTGAGTCAGTAATTTGATGCTACATCACAAAATTGTGAGTGAAATAAAGCCATCATGTGTCAGACCACACAACCACAACAAATTTTACATTTACATAGCGACTTTCATGCTGCGAGGGCATCCGAAACAGTCTATAGACTATCGTCTGTCTTAGATTGTCTGTGTGTCTGGCGTGTAGTGTGATTTATTTTAAATAATTATGGCAGATCATTAAGAATTCCTGCCTACAGTGCAGTAGCCAGCCTCACGAGATTAGGACTATAAAAATCTGTTCCTATAGTAGGGATATTTCATCCAATGCAGTAATAATACAATAATAATCCTTGCATTTGTGCGAGTCTAGACTTTGAGTTCACAGTCTGGCCTGGCACTGCAAAACGGTTCTGGGGGAGTCTTGCATGGTGAGAGGTGCTGTTGAATATGCTGCAACAATTTAGATAAAAAGTGAAAATGGCTCTGGACCAGGGAGATTCCTGACGTGGAGAACAAATTGGAAGGTGGGCAGAGGAGATTCATAAGCAAGTTGGCAGGCAGGATAAGCAATGTATACATCATAGAAAAAACTAAGCATGCTTGTCAAAGGGAGAGGGGAGTGAGGGGGGAGAAAGAGTCGGAGAAACTATGTTTTGGATTGTTGCATTGTTGTACATATGTGAAGCCCAAACAACGTTCTTCACAAACGGGTCCTCAATTTCATGTTTACATGTTTGTCTTAGAAGCAAAGAACATCTGACCCTAACCCTTTAGATGCAAAGTGTTTTGTGGGGGGAAAGTTAAGAGTGTACTGAACTATTTAAAAATCTGGAAGAGTAAACGTAAAATGTCAAAAACAGCACATTAACATCAAAACGTGCCTTTATATTTTCAAAATGGAGATTTAGCAATGCAGTTTGTAACAGCAGAAGGTAATGTGTTCACAGAACCATAATCAATAATGATGAGACTGGCAGGCTGATTGTTCAGAACCACTGTCGTGGTTTCAGGATTTGGAAATGAGAAGTCTTTCCATGTACTGTAAAAATATAATAATCCTTGAATTTGATATAGCACCTTATCACGTCTTCGCAACGTCTCAAAGCGCTTCACAGGATATAATGTAAAGTGGATTGACTGTGTATTTTGTGGGCAAAACCCAGCAGCCAATTGCACACAGCAGTGTCCCACAAATAGCCACGGAGTGAGTGACCAAATTTATTTGAGGGATCGTTGGCCAGGACAGCGGGAGAGAGGGAACCTCCTTTTTCTTTTCGAACAGTGCCAAGGGATCTTTGATAAAATATAATGTTAAAAAATGTAGTATTAAATAACATTACAGAAAGCAAACCATTGTTATGATGGTACTTGACAACAAACTTGATGTGCAACAAACTCACAGCAGAGTAAGAAAAGAGGCAATCAAATGCTGGAAAGTGCCAGTGTTTCACAGGCATCTTGATCAAATTCTGGAAAGCAATGCAACACAACATCAAACTACACAGCTCCCTATTTCTCTTGAATAAGAATCTGATGTGCCCAGAATTATTCTAGTCGTACAGCCGGATTGGGGAAGCCTTTAAACAGGTCGCAGAGAGTACAAATTTCACAGCTTCCTTGTCAGATTAAAAAGAAGTTTAAAGGAAATAACTGATTTAACTTAAAAGTTATGCAGTGAGGAATAAGGAAGGAAAAATTCTCTTGCTATATTAAAAACATAGTCGGTCGATGGCAATTCAGTTCTGAGACCCTGGACTCTGCCCCTGTGTACTTTTCCATGCTACTTATCTGTGGCTGTTGTTATGCACAGATTTTGGAACAGAGGAACAGGCGTAGGCCATTCAGCCCCTCGAGTCTGTTCTGCCATTCTATTAGATCATGGCTGATCAGTACCTCAACTCCAATTACCTGCCTTTTCCCCCATATCCCTTGATACCCTGACCTAACAAAAATCTATCCACCTCAGTCTTGAAAATTTGAACAGATAATAATAATAATAATAATCCTTGCATTTGTTATAGCGCTTTTCACGTCGGGAGGACGTCCCAAAGCGCTTCACAGAATATACTGTAAAGCGAATTGACTGTATATTTGTGGGCGAACGCGGCAGCCAATTGCGCACAGCAATGTCCCACAAACAGTCGTGGATTGAAAATGACCAATTTATTATTGTTTTTTTTTTGGAGGGATTATTATTAGGCTCTGTGTGGAGTAAGGAAACTTGCCCAAGGTTTCGCCCTGACCTGCTGGGGATTGAACTCAGGTCTCTCATTTGCAAAGCGAGTGCTCTAACCACTGAGCTACAGGACTCCACATCCATAGCCTTTTGGGGATAGAGAGTTCCAGATTTCCCCTATCCTTTGCGTGAACAAATACTTCCTGATTTCACTCCTGAATGGCTTAGCTCTCATTTTAAGACTATTATTATAAAAATAAAAATATATTATTATATAATAAAAAGATGAGACTTTGCTGCCTATTGCCGGGCAGGAACTATCCAATTCCATGGTGTATTCAATTTAATTTGCATTTATTATACCAGAATCTGCAACTTTTAATTTTGTTCGCAACCAGTATTTATCTAGTTCTTTTTCTGAGGAAGTTAATAGACAGAGAATTCCCTGGTTTTGCTGGAAGCCTGTTCCATGAATTTATTACTCTGTAGGAGGGGAAAAAAGCAAATTCTAATCTCTAACCTCAGTAAGGCTATTCATTTTGTACTAATGTAGTATGCTCACATTCCAAGTTGTATCTGATTTAGTTGTGTCTCTCAGTATTTTAAAGAATTGGTTCATGTTCTATCTCAATTTCTTTTGTTGAATGGACTCCGTAAATCTCTATGTGTAAATCTGAGAAGGTCTACCTAGTTAATATGCAATATTAATATGCAATTCAATTCATGAGCCTTAACATTTTTATAAATGTCTCGCATGTAGGAAATCATCAGATGCTTTCGACACATAATATCTTATATAATACAGTTTAGTTATCCCTTCAAAGAATTCCACAATATTTTCAAAATGATATTGAATTGACAAAGTACAATAGAGAGAACGAGCAACAATCTGGATACACGATGATTTAGTAAAATGCCTTCGCAGTCTAGTTTCGGATATCGGTGGCAATGAAAGCAGAATTTAATAATCCTTGCATTTGATATAGCATCTAATCACATCATTGGGACGTCTCAAAAGCACTTCACGGGAGACACTATAAAATGGATCTGACTTGTGTAATTTTGTGGTTGGCAGCCATATTCATTTTGTACTAATGTAGTATGCTCACACTCCAAGTTGTATCTGATTTAGTTGTGTCTCTCAGTATTTTAAAGAATTGGTTCATGTCCTACCTCAATGTTCTTTTCTTTTCTTTTCTTGCACACAGCAATGTCCCACAACAGCCGTGGAGTGAATGACCAATTTTATTTTGAATTTTGTGAAACTCTCCTATATTAGGAGTTTACATTCATTTAGCCTGAAAGCAACTTTCTCTTTAAAACTTGCAGTTAGAGAAACTCTGTAAAAGACTGTGAAAATCGACAAACTATTTTCTTCTTTCAAGAGATAAAATCCAAAGTCTCACAGCAAACTTTAAACCAAAGACAGTATAGTGAGGTTAATCCTCTCCAAATAAAGAGCATTACCAATGGTATTATTCTGACTTTAACAAACTAACATGCTCGGGAACAAAAATAATTCTTATATTTGGTATAGCATCTTTCAGGTCGGAAGGACATCTCAAAGTGCTTCACAGGATATACAGAAAGGTCGAGGGA